TGTGGTAATTTCTACTCAACATGTGGTAATTTCTACTCAAAATGTGGTAATTTCTACCCAAAACGTGGTAATTTCTACTCAAAATGGGGTAATTTCTACTCAAAATGTGGTAATTTCTACTCAAAATGTGATAATTTCTACTCAAAATGTGGTAGTTTCTACTCAAAATGTGGTAATTTCTACTCAAAATGTGGTAATTTCTGAATTGATTTATATTCAGTTACGTCTAGTTTCCGAATTGCCTTAAAAATTTACATGGTCTTCGATATTCAAATAAATATATTATGCAATTTACAGACTTTCTAGGACTGTGCAGCACACACGAAAAAGGTAACCCGCCATGCAGTGTGCCTCTGCTAAGAATATTCACTGTTTTCTTCAGAATTAGAACAGCAAAGTGTCTGTGTTCTATGTATAATATAGTAGATAATATTCGGTAAGCGTTATGTTCTATGTATAATATAGTAGATAATATTCGGTAAGCGTTATGTTTTATGTAGATTCGCACTTTAAAAATAAACTATGTAGCTTCCAAAAACATCAAAAATCCGGATCAAATGCACAGGGTTCAGATTTCAATAAAAGTTGTATATATCTTATGATATCAATGTCAAAAATATGTATAAAAGAAGCCATGTTTTACAATAATGTCCATGTGATATATTGAATTGATTTTATTTTAAAAAACTTTTGTTCCTTTTTGCTGAATTTGCCACTTGGCATGCACGTCACTATACGGAATGACAAACACTGCAAATCTGCCTGCATTTGCATATGAATATAATGGAATTCCAGATTAACTACTGTAAAATACTGAATGAATGATTCAGTGAAAATAAAATCACGTGAATATACAGCATTCATTCTGTTTTTCTCCAAGGTTGCTAGGTAATCAACCACAATGTCTACATTAAATCATGCTGCATCCAGAGAGACGACTAACATCAAACCTGAAGTTGAAAAACAAATGGAAAATATTTACATGTTCCTGGAACCTCATCTTACTATAGCAAATGTGAATACAGTTGGATTCTTCACAGAACAGCAATGGTTGCTATTATCGGATGATATAAGACATGAATTGCTTTCAATGAACGATCAGCAACTAGCATTGCTGCCGACTGCTGGACATATTAAAGATGATACACTTTCCTGTCCTCAGTTACAAAAGTTAGTCGAATCAAGTCAGAATTTTCAAATTGAGCAATTAGGTTTTGTGGATAATATTGATGATATTGTGGGTGGTTGTGATACAGATGATGTGTTGAAACCTGGACAGTTTATGAGTCTTAAGAAATTACATGAAGTATCTCTGATGTCTAATGTTGTTAACAGACTAGCTACATCACATGGTGTAAAACAAGTAAGTTTTAAAAGGTCATACTTACTGT